ATCAAAAGTTTAGTTACATATCCAAAATGACAAATGGAATCTATGGGTATGACATCAAGGTCATAGCAGGACCATTGTTAGTGAATTGCTATTTGCCAACTTTGTGTTGGGGTCAGGTAGGTTTACACACTCCTGACTTGTGATTAACTGCATATCCCCTATATGCATTTAGTATGTGGGAATCCATGAAGATTTTCTATTTGCATAAGATTGGGTTACGTTGTATACGTACCAATCTCACCACCACAGTATACATTCATGGGCACACATAGGAAACTGGGGATCAATGTGAGATTTCAATCTCTGTCGATTGTTAAGTATCTAGGACCTCTTATGGAGGATCTATTTACGGCCTCGTACGCTGGTTGTAGTTAGATAATGAGCATTTCCAGGCATTAGGGGGAGATTTGATGTACCATATATAATTCCAGGAAATTATTTTGAATGCATAAGATATTTCAAGCTCAGGATCACATACTAAATGAACTAAATTTTGAGTTCAAAGAATTATTGATTTGCATAATATCGCAAATAAACTGCCAAATGCATTTACTGATCACTAAGGTGTCTTTTAAACTTGTTAATCCGTTGCAAGTATGTGCCAGAAAGAGTGGTGGTACCAAGTAAAACCACTCAACTCTCAATTGTAAATAAGAGGGGGAGAAGTATGGCCATAAAGCAGGATTATTCATGCTAGCAATAGAAGGTTTTCCTTCTAAGATAGTAAATGCATGTCCACCTATGGTTGGCAACACCTTGTGGGTAAATATTAGTTATTACCCAGTGGATGGATATCATTCACAAACCTAGCTCAGAGGTGCACCTAAATGCTAATGCTAGAATATCAGAAAGCCCTGACTCTCATTTTGGGAAGTCACAATGAGTCATTCAGGGTATTTTGAGTTTTGATAACCGGAGAATTATATCATAGAAAGGCTACATGTGTCGACACGTACTTCTCTAAATAAATTGTATGCAACATTCCAAGTCATCCACTCAATAAGACCATGGTAGAGTGCTTTGCTCACTCTTACTAGAACTTGTTGAGTGATGTAATACATGCAGAGATAGTCTTGCTCACCAGAAAAGAAGTCCAACACCTCATGGTACCTTTACTGTGGGTATAAAAGTGTTTTCGTCCTAGAATGGATTGAGAACAATATGGTGGTAAGATCAAAGCAAGACTAGTAGCACAAGGGGTTTACGCGAAGCCCAGGCATTGATTTTCAATGCAAATTATTCTCCATAGTAAGTTATAAATTTCCGATACTATCTTTTGACTGGCAGTACAAAAGCATCTATCATTGCCGTTGATAGTTGATAGATGTAGTGATTGCATACATTTATATGATCACTTGATTTGGTGTATTTGTGAAGCTTCCAGGAAGGAGTTCACATACCCAACCCTCATACATAAAATCGCAACACATATTGTGTATTGCTTAAGTCAATAATGGCTTAAAGCAGTTAAGTCGAATTTGGTACAATTGACTTTGTGTATTCCCTAAACTGAAGGGATACAAGATTGATTACACTTGGTGCTCATTTTGAAGTCCTTGATTGGATTTCATAGTGTTATATGATAGTCAATAATCTTGACATCATTAGTGATTAGTGATGAACACATGTTAATAGCACGTTGTAATTTAAAGATGAAGTTTGAGATGGAAGATACGGACTAAACCAAAATTTCATTTTGTGTTTATAATCCAAGCATCTTCTCTCAGGATTTTGTACAAAAGCTATATCTATATCCTGATCATATTGAGTGATTCAATATAAAGGTATCATATGGTTGTTCCACCTCATGATAGAGGAAGATTGTTTTATGCCATAATGATTGAGATGAGATAATGGGACATGTGGTCCATTATCTCAATGCTATTGATGCGCTAATAAATCTTGCAAAAGTTCCCAGCCGAATATTATTTTTGCAATGACTTGCTATCTAGTAGCATCGCTACTCATACCAAATGTTGGTAGATTGAAGTTAAGAATATCTTTTGATATCTCAAATAGCACATGTGGTCTTGGTGTAATCCATGATCCGATTATGTGGATATAATGATTCTGGTTATCTATAAGATCCCCAAATTCCAGATCATTGAAATAGGCTTTACATGAATATGGAAAGACCATTTTGTAATAGTCTTTAAATAGACATTTAATGGTCAATTCCATTAATCATTCTGACATTGTATTGTATAAGGCTTCACATGAATGTGTATAGCTTGACAGAATGATATATCACATACTAAAGTTACGTGGTGTTGATTCTATGAATCAATGGTCATGATCTATAAAGGTAATGCAACTTGTGTTGTGTAGATGGAGATAAGTTATACTTAATGCAATATTTTACACTAAGATGGTTCTGTTCTATAGGTGATATGGGCATATGAATATTTGCAAACTAAGTCTTGTGATAATCTTACAAAGATATTCACAGAAATCTACCATACTCTACATTTCTTATGTGTTGAGGGAATTGGTATGAATTTATTTCAAGGTTTGCTAGTATCAAGGGGAGAGTCTCTCTGATTAATAATTTGTTGCAAACATCAAATTGCACTATTTTCTTTGTATGAGCTTTTTCCTTTGGGTTTCTCATATAAAATTTTTTGATGAGACAATATCAACATAAGGTTATGTCATATCATCCATTTTTCCCCACATGGGTTTTTGGAGGGTGATATTGTGACATATAATGCATTGCACTTTTTTCTTTATGTGAGTTTTCCATTTATGGTTTCTCATATAAAGTTTTTGATGAGGCAATGTCAACACAAAGGTATATGCTATATCATCTATTTTTCTCCACCGAGTTTTTTTGGAAGATGATATTTGAAGCATATTGATCCTATGGTCAAGGTGTTTTTAGACTAAGACTTTGGGTTTATCTCGAAGGGTCTAATAACATTGGTGATTGTATATTATTGTGTTTCTCCTTATTTTTCTCACTGGGTTTTAAGGGGTTTTGCCTGGTATACTGGTATTACTTTGGTTTTTCCTATAGGGTTTTTCAAAGATTCATAAAGATGCATAATAGATGAACAGTGAAGACTATAAGAAGTTAATTGATCAAGGGGAGTGTTAAGAATTATTATTTAGTGATCAATTAGGGATTAATCCAAGGGGTGTCTTTTCACCCCTCTCTCTCTTTCTCACTTGTAACCGCCCATATGGGCCTTGTATATATGTATACACTGTTTATTGGGAATACAATAGAGATTTTTTTTTGCATGAACTCGCTTTGTCTCGTCCCTCTCTATTCTAACATATTTTACTTACCAATACACCATATAGATGATTTGTGTTAGTTGTAAATTTTTTTATTAAAACTAGACCAAACCATTTAATGGTGAGAAAAAATATCCTATAGAGCATCTCATGGGTACTATATGAATACTCATAAATAATCATGGAACATCTTATTTATACTATATAAACATCCCAAAATACACGGTAGAACATCACATGTACACCACCCGCACATCACGCTTATACCATGGAATATGGGAAATGAGAAAAAGAAAATTAGGAAAAAATAAAATAATTATAGCAAAATAAATAAGAAGGAAAAGTCCAAATATAAAATAATAATAATGTGCTATGAATATATAAAATTAAATAAATAACTTAAATATAAAATAAGTTAATAAAGATTAGACAAAACATAAGGGGAACACAAAAATAATAAAAATGAAAAAACCCACCAAATAAAGAAAAATAAAAAACTATCACATGGATACAACTTGAACAACCTAAAATATATCGTAGAACATATCATAGATACTATGTGAATACTCCAACATAATAGTAGAACATCCCATTTATACTACTAAACATCCCAAAATATATCATAAAATATCGCATGTATAGTTCGTGAACATCATAAGATACATCATAGAACATAATATATACATTACATGAACATCACATATATCTTATGGAATGTAGAAAATTAAAAAGGTAAAAGCAAAAACAAAAATAAAAATAAACTACTTAATTGAAGCAAAGTAACGAAGAAGAAATATTGAGAAAAATTAAAACAACATCACATGATATTAATTGAACAATCTAAAATATACTATAGAACATATCACAAGTACTTAAAGATAATTGTAGAACATTCCATATATATTACTTGAACATCTCAAAATACGTTATAGAACATCACATATACACTCCGTGAACATCACATGTACACTCCGTGAACATCACATACATACTATGTACACATTGTATATATCTCGTGGAATATAAAAACTTAAAAGTCAATCATGGTAAAAATATTAATTAGAATAAAATAAAAAATGAAAATAAGAAAAACTAAAAAACAGTAAAGAAAAGGAAGGAAAAAAGAAATAGAAAATCAGAAAGAAAGTAAAAAAAAAAAAAGAAACTCATTCGGGTTTTAGACGTGAGTGTGGGCTGTCAGATCCAACCTTGAGATGTACCGTGTGCTCTCTGTATATCCCACAAAAACCGAGCAGAAAAAAGATTAACATGAAAAACATGAAACACAGAAAAATAATAATTAGAAAAGAAAAACAAATAAAAGAAAATATAAGAAAGGAAAAGAAAAAATAAAAAGAGAAAACTAGCCTTGCGGACATGTATATATATATAGTAGAAATACTAGCTTTACGTGAACATGGTATGTGTCATAGAAGAATAAAGAGGCACAGGGAAGAGAAAAGAAAAAGAAAAAGAAAAGGAAAAATAATATTATATTATATATAAAAGAGAGAAACATGCATGCGCTAAGGTGCAATACTCTGGAAATGCTAGCACGCTCCTGTGGCTCGCAGCGCCCGCACAGGTGGGCCGCGCTCGCTCGCGTACGTGGGCTGCGCGTGGGCCACGCTCGTTGCAGCGCCGGTGCTCAAGCTTGCAGGCTTGCAGCGCGCTGGATTGCAGGTGGTCGGCGGGTGACTCCCTGCCACCTGGTCGGACCGGAAGATCTGCGGGACAGAACGGGCAGAGGGGGCGAGCGCATGGAGAAAAGAGAAGAGGAGAGGAAGGGCAGCGGTGGCGCCGCCGGCACCGGCGGCTCGACTCCTGGGGCCAACCTAAGGGACCTGGTGTCGAGGGAATACTACGGCCACAAGAAGAAGGTAACACCTCTCAACGCCTCCGCAATATCCATCATAATTTCTTCTTGAGCCCCTAAAATCCAGAATCTGGCCAGAAGAAAGGTTTCGAAGTTCCTATCCGTAGGGTTGCAGTTCGTAGGGCGACGTCCTAAAATTCCGGCCGTACATGCAGAATGAGGAAACAAGGTGTGGAAGTACCGAAGTAGCAATCTTTGGGCCTTCCAGTTTGGTTGCTGAGAATATAGACGGGATCGTGGCCCTTTCTTGCTTTCGATTCGAAGCTACAAGCGAATTGGAGTGGAGATTTAGCTGTTTCTTCTCCTTATATATAGAACCTGTAAGCAGTCATAATGTTAGAGCTTGATGAAAAGGAAAATATTGCTGCAGCCACAGTTAGTTGCAAAGGAATTTAGTTGTCCTCTGTTGCAGCAAAGGAGCTGTGGTGCCTTTGCTTGCAGGGGGAGCAAGAGCGGTTGCCCTTTGGTTCTAAAAAGAAATTTGACCTTATCTTAGTACATGTTGGAGTATTTCTTTATTGTTAGTTTTTCACCTGTTTATGTTTGTTGTCTTTTGTCAGTGCTGAAAACTGGTTTACACATTACTAAGAAAGAAGATTGTCACTAATGATGACTTCTAGTGCTTTCTAGGGCTGTAAAGTTGCAATGAGGAAAAATAAGAAGGGATAATCTTCCTTTCAGAAGGAATATATGGCATGTTGAGGTTTTTTTTTTCTTTGTTTCTTACATTATGTTGAATGTGTTGCTTAATTGTCCTCAACTCCTCATAGCGATCTTCAAAGCAAAACCACTCTACCCTAGTACTTGGCAGTACAAAGTTTAGCTTGATTTGTGGATTCTTGTTTTTGCCTTTTGTTATTCATTTATCTGGTAATCTTATCACTGTGTTCACCATTCTGATAGTTTTTATCATTAGGTGCACTCTGTAGCATGGAACTGCCTAGGCACAAAGCTTGCTTCAGGATCGATTGATCATACCGCACGTGTCTGGAGCATCGATCCACATGGCCATGTAACTTCCTCTCCTTCTGTCATTGTTACCAAATTTACTTTTACAGAATGGGATATGCTTTTTGTTGTCACCTTCTCAAATCCCCCCTCCCTCTGTTTTTTTATTATGATAAGAGTCATTTTGGTCAATTTTAAAATTCTGCATAATTGGTATATTTCCTATCTTATGGAACTTAGATAACAAGTTATGACCTTGAACTTAAGAAAGCATTAGTTTGTGTGATATGCCAAAGAGAGGTAAATGCTTCACATTTGCACCATTTTAATTTCTAGCTTTGGCTTTTTGTCGCAGGTACTTTACAGTAATTTCCTGTTTCTATAGCTTGTGCACAATAGAATTATCTGTTCAGTTCATTAATTATTGGTGTAACTCAACGTATAATGTTCTTAAAGTGCAATGAAGCTTTTACCATAATTAAGACCCCCCTCAAAAACCTTTTACCATAATTTGTAGCATGAAAAGTGGTTTTATTCTGAACAGATGGAATCTTTAGAGTAAGCTATAGAGTTTTGAATAAACTTTTAGCTAGAGTATTTCCTATTCTTAATAATAGCTCTTTCTATGATTTTGTATTTGGTAGCAGGGAGTCTAATTTCATCTTACTCTATACCATTGAAAGTTTTAAATTGGAACTTTTGCTAATTTTGTTACAGTCTAAGGTTAAAGATATTGAACTGAAAGGCCACACGGATAGTGTAGATCAGCTTTGCTGGGATCCAAATCATCCTGATACAGTTGCTACTGCAGCTGCTGACAAGTCTATTCGTCTTTGGGATGCTCGAAGTAAGTGGCACACTTCTTCCTTGATGATACTAGAATGCACAGTTTTTTTTTTTAGCATTTCATAATGCATTTATCATTATACCTTTTTAAATCTATGGAATACATTTTTTACTTCGGCTGAGTTTGGATCCATCTAAATTTCCATAAGCTGGTAGAAGCCAAGTTCATTCAGCTTTTGAGATTGTGGAACCTGGCTTTGGAGTTGGTGGGTGTTTGGAGACCATCCTAGCTTCTACAAGCTTGATCCTGGAATCTGATATGATCCAAACAGGCCCTTTGTTCTTTCCTACATTATCCCACATTTACAACAAATTTGATGTGGAAAGATCTCTTATGTAATAACTTTATCTGGAAGCTATTTTGTCGTATGTGACATCTGGCTTTTGGATGATATATGTTGTATTTTTTGTTCTGTCTTGGTGGTAGTTTTTCTGTCAATCAAGTTATAATGTTTTTATCTTTCTTCTCATCAATGCTTCTTTGTGTTTTTTTCAGGTGGAAAATGTCAAGTTGTTGAACTTAGCGGAGAAAACATCAACATCACATATAAACATGATGGCACTCAGATAGCTGTTGGAAACAAGGTTCGTACTGCCTAACTTTTCTCTGCTCACGCTAAGAATGGATACATTTATAACAAAACTGACCTATATTAATGTACTTAGGTTTATTTAGAGTAAAAAAGATAGGTTACTTTCTTTTGGCTTATACCTTTCTCAGCAAGTACCTTGAAAAATTGCAGCCATATTGCTATTTTGGTGTTTCTTTTTTGGAAGTCCTACAGTTTTGCATTCCTGAATCCTGTACCAGTATCATTGCAATATAGAATGGAATTATGCACCTAAAGATGTACATATAAACATATTAGTTAATCAATTAGATGGAGCCGTGACATGTTTTTTTCTCTGTATGGTTATAGATAAATATTCTTGGCCTTGAGAAAGCAGTGCGAATAATTTATCAAAATCAGGCATTTGTGGGGGGGGGGGTGGAGGGATGATTCATAAAACTGTTCTCTATATGATTGTTTACAAATTACTGAAACTCTAATTTTATCAAATTTTATATTTATGTCTACAATAACAGCTTTTGTAATGGTTTGTAGGAGGATGAGCTGACTATATTGGATGTTAGGACACTTAAAGTTGCTAAGAAACACAAGTCTACTTACGAGGTAATTATGAATTGAAGCTTGGCTATATGAAACATTTTCTAGCAATTCTTTGTTTGATCCAACTGTTCTTTGGATTAGCATGCACATATACATGTCGGTAGAAATAAAATGAGCAGCACTGTCCATGTATGCTTGTCTGAGACAAAATTTGATGTATGAATGTTTTCTATGAGTAAATGGGTACTGCTGTATGAATTGAATTTACCAAATAATTGAACGTATACTTTATTTTAATCTATGTATTGCTGATTTATGTACCTTTGTGTTTTCAATTTATTGCAGTTCAATTTTTTTTCTTTCCATTCTTTGGTGTGTTTTCCTTGGGTCAGTTGTTGCATAATTTGGAAGCATCGTAATGCTTATCTTCTCTAAGGAGCAAAACCAAGTGTCCACAACGTCTTACATCAATGAGGACGCATGGTTTTGGTGCATTGCAGATGCCAAAGGGTTGTTCCTATTGGTAGATTGGTAGAGGGTTTCATCTAGAATAGATATTAGCTGTCCTTGTTTACTTTTCTGATTTTCTCTTCTGTTACCCCTTGTTTGGTCGGGGGGGCTGCTTGGCCATTTTGGCCTCTCCCTCAATGTAATGATACACATTGTGTGTGCTTAAGGAAAAATGTTGCTTTCGTTGTTTAATGTTTGTGAATTGCGTTATTGCTTTGTTCCTCAGGTGAATGAGATTGCTTGGAATAAAGCTGGAGATCTATTCTTCATTACTACTGGGTTAGGTAGGATCTAAGATGCCTTTTCCAAGGTCACATTAATAATACTGAATAAATAAACATGGTATTTACATTTTAGCAGATTTTTGGTGGTACCATATTGTATCAATTAATGTTTCCACATGGTCTGTTGTTCATGCAGGACACGTTGAGGTGGTTAAGGATCTTGAGTTTTTAAAGCCCTGCAAACTGAATGCTCATACAGCAGGGTGTTATTGCATTGCAATGGATCCAGTTGATAGGTATTTTCTATTTTCTATTAAAGGTTCTTTATTTATTTCTCACCCCCTGGTACTTCTCTGGATCCCTTGGATTTGTAATTTATACTACTTCAACTGGGTTATCTGGTCTGCTATTTGACTTAAGATGTAAGAGTGAACTCTATAAATGTTTGACACTGATGCTTGCATGGTTAATGACTTCAATTCCAATTAATATTGGCACAACCTATTCACCTATGTTCTCGCTATTAGAATACCAATATTCTTTTTCTTTTTGAAAGACCAGAGTAATAAGAATTATTGAAATTTTACATCCTAGCTTCATATCTAGGTAAAGAAGAAATTGTTAACTAGCAACCTTTGGGTGAGTGATTAACTAGGACATTACCTACCTGTAAGTGAGTTTTAGAAGATATGATTACCTGTTCTGTCCTTACAACTACTGAATTCAGAATTTACATAGAGGAGCAAATTAGTTTGCCAGTGGACCTAGATTGTTGTCTATGCGAGATATTGTGACCTGCAAACTGTGAGGCCAATATACCATCGCATAGATTGAGGTGGGGAAAATCGCCCGATGTGTGAGTCTGGGCCCATATGGCAGCCTCATATCGTATGGTAATGGTATTTTCCAATTAGCCTTCTTTGTGATGATGCCATGCTACTTAATTCAGAAAGCACTTGTTTTGAAGTTTTGGTCCACAACAATATGCAAGTAAGCATCATACATTTTGTACTCGTCTTCTGGATATAGTAGTCAGTTGTCTGGTTTCCTGTTAGGCTGTTACTCTGATTTTGAGAGAAACTATAGTTGTTTTGCTGATGACAGTTACAAATTGTTATGACAGTTACAAATTGTTATGATGCTAGGTATTTCGCTGTTGGAAGTGCAGATTCACTTGTCAGTCTTTGGAATGTCAAAGAGTTGTTATGCATTAGAACCTTCACAAAACTTGAGTATGTTCCTTTAGCTTAACTTTACTATGTAACATTGCTAGATGGCAATAGTTTTGAATGGCTTTATATTCATATAAACATGAGTTCTCAGTTGTCATTATTGTTCCTTTGCCGGAAGACTATATTTAAAGGTTTGAGGTTGGGGGGGAGGGGGAGTGCTTATTGATTTGGGCATTACACTTGATGTTTCCCCTCGCTTTTCTCTCTAGTCTCATGACATGTTAGACTAAAGAGTGTAATATTTTACAAAAAAAAAAAAAATGTTCTGTTCAGTCTGAATATGTTATGTAAGTGTAGGCAGAAGAAGCTATGGGATTTGCTTAACTTATATCCCTCTTTTATATTAAAACATGTTACAAGTTGTGGGAAAACATGAAGTCGCCTTAAAGCCACCAGGTTTTAACTCTCCTCCACATGCTATTTTTGTTTAGTGTCATCCATGTGATCATGTCATACAAAGTCCTAATGCCCCTCAATCACAGTTCAACATCAACTATTTCAATTGGTTTCTGCTACCATATGTAGTGCCATGTCCGTTAAGCCCCTAACATATTTCATTGAGCCAATTAGTGGTTGCTATCATCAATTCAGGTTGATGTGCAGTTGGTGGTTCAATGCCCTTGGCTAACTTCTTCGACAGAACCTTGTATCAGAGAATTGGAGAAAATTGACCAAGGGTTAAAGTTATTTTAGCCCTGGACTTGTAGCCCTTATATCCGTATTTGCCAGTGAGCGAGTCTCTCCACTTCTCCTGGTTTCCAATCAGCCTCCTTGCAAAATAAGCAACGGTTAGGCTGCCTAGAAATTACCTTCTGCAGACCCAGAGGGCTTTCAGCAATCGATGTGCCCTTTTATGAGAAATGATGGGAAAGTGTAGCAATGGAGTTATTTTGACATTGAATTAGTTTGATGAAAATGCATTTTTTACCGGGATTAGGCCGTTAGAGTGGGGTTGAATGAAGAAATGGTGATAAGCATTCATTCAAAGAAAAACCTTGATAAGCTGATCAAGTAATCCTCCTTCCAGTTTCAATAAGCTTACAAAGATTTATATCTTTATTTTTATTACTTTTTCTCATAGGTGGCCTGTAAGAACAGTTGGCTTCAATCATACTGGAGAATTCATTGCATATGCCAGTGAAGATCCTTTCATTGACATTGTGAGTCATCACACACACACATAGTATACTTTCCTTTTTATTCAAGACTAAATGCTGTTAAAAGTACTGTTATTTTACGTTTTATTATGCTTCCATCAGGCCAATGTTGAGACTGGACGATCAATTCATCAGATTCCATGTAAAGCAGCTATGAATAGCGTTGAATGGAATCCTAAGTACAATCTCCTGGCCTATGCAGGAGACGACAAGAACAAGTACATGGCTGATGAAGGTATAGTTGCTGCAATTCACTCACTAGTTTGGTCTAGTGGTCTACTCATGCTGTTATTTACTGGCAACAATTGAAGATATAACTGATTTCATTAACATGAGTCCATCGCTGCAGCAGCCGAAGAAAACTGAATGTCTGGTTCAGTTTAGCTTTTGGACCTTTCTCAGCCGCTGTTGTGTTGCTTTTATCTGATCAATCAGTTGTTGAATTATTTCCCATTGAACTATCTGGTTTTCGACAAAACTGCCTAAAAAATAAGAATGGTTGAACGAACTATGAAAAGGGTGGAGCTGTATCATCTGCCTAGTTAATTATAGAGGATTATCTTGCTTTAAGGGATTCTAGTTCATAAAGCTCTGGTGGTATAATGATAAAAAGAATTGATAGGCCCTTACCATTTGTTGCTTTTGCAGGTGTTTTCCGGATATTTGGCTTCGAAACACATAACTGATGCTGACTTAGACTACCATCATATAGAATGGTTTGCATTGTAGATTCACTTTCAGATTTGTTTACACTGATACATTTTATAGACGTTCAGTGTAACTTCGATGCTGATCAATCTTCTGCCAGCTTGAACTGAACGTCATTGTTGTAGTGTATCACAGGATACCATGTGATTAACGTATTTTCATTTTTGTGTTGTGACGAAGGATTATGTGGACGACGTTATCCTGTAACTTTTTCATCAGATTAGAACCCAAATAAAATGGAGTATATTGAGAAAATAATAAAAACAAAATTACACAAAGATATTTGTGAAAGGGGAGAAATTCATGGGAGTTCTTAACATGCTCTCCCTTAGTTTCAATTACAAGACGTTTTGGTTTTCTTAGATACAATTGCTTTTACTATGTATGTAGACATAGCGTATATCTAAATTCATAGCAAAAGCATCTATATAAAAGCCAAAACATCTTATAATTTAGAATGGATTCAGTACTATTTTTGAAACTAAGCGTGCATGAGGGCTATAGTATGTCATTTCATTGCAGGAGAGCATCCTCAACAGAAGACAGACCTCACTTTTTGATAGAATGAGTGGACATGCTGTGCTGTAGCTCGAATTAAAGTTATAGTGGTTATATGTTCTTGAGTTATTCTCGTGTTACCAGATCTGCCTCCCAATTGAACGCAGTTTTCCTAACCTGATAGTTTGAAACCAGAACCCTTATAAGAATAAATAAACAAAACAAAGCTCAGTAACTGAGCGGCACGAGCAAAACGTAGTGGCAAAATACTTCACAGAAATGATAGGCAGAAATGATAGGAGGCAGCCTGACATTGGTGGTAAGTTCTTGTCCTTTGCTAGTAAAATTTAATGAGCACAATTGGAGAAAGAACACATGCTAATTCAACAATGTGACACAATGGCATTACTTCAAAAAATAACTCTTGAACTTCCTTGCATTCATAATTGGCAAGCTCAATCAAATGTTGCTAGTTTTCCTTCTTTTTTTCCAATATGATCTGTTCACGTTCTGATTCACACAACACAAGCCGAATTTGTCAGACAACCCACACATTTCATGACAAAAAAAAAAGACATTTTACAGGGATTCAGATCCACACCAAAAGAAGCCAAAAACAGACACAACCCCTAGATGCTTGCAGGAATGCAAAAAGGAAACCAACAAGAATCATATTCCGCAGCTGATCATCAAGCTGTTTTACTCAGGCCCTGTACACAATGAAATGCTTCGCCCATCGCCGTGCCATGAATGGGTCATGGTAGTCCCGCCTCTCAGTGCAGCAGCTCCTCCTCTCACCGCCAATGCTCAGCCCCATCTCTCTCATTCCACAGTACCGGTTGTCGCCTTTCTCTTCGAACCCAACAGCGATTTCGCCTGTCCTCAGCTGGTCCTCTCTTCCACCCTCCAGGTAACTGTAACCAACAAGTATGACGCCACAATCTGCCGCAAGGTCGAGCGGGATCCTTCGCTCCTCACCACCCCTCAGCTCTCCAAGCCTAACCATTCCCCCATGCTCCCCTATCCTCAGCTGGGTGTCGCCTATCACACCGCCAAGCAACCGTGCAAGCAGCTCCTCAAACTCATGCATGATAAATCCAGTTTGCACCCTGAAACCGAGCCCGACATGGAACTGGTGAACTGGGATGTTAGAGTGGTTCATATCCACCCCAACACAGTTGCGGACTGGATGATCAGACAAGTGAAGGATGCAGTTGCTTGGGTTCCGATGCGCCCGGTCCTCCAGTATCTTCAGGCCCTTGTGTAAAGCCCCTACTGGATCAGTCCCACCAACACAGCAAAGGTGTTCAATGACCTGCAGCGCCATTCTTTTCCCATGGGATGTCATCCGGCGCAAGGGGAAAGCACGGGTTGCAGTGGTGGCATTCGTGACAATGGCTAACCGGTCAATTGCCCTCATGGAGAAGACAACAAGCGCCATTGCCTGCTTCAAGAGCCTCAGATGTGGTCCATTAGGGCTGGCAACCAGGACCAAGTCCATGGCTGGCTGTGGAGCAAGACTGGCAGAGAGGTAGGCGCGCCGTTGTCCACTGGGTGAAGCAATCTGAGGCGGTGAAAGCATGGAGGAACCGCTGTACTGGAAGTGCTGTTGTGGTGGCAACATGTGTCCACAGGGGTAATGCCCGAGAACATGATGGTGAGCTGCCACTGGAGCCGGGATAAGGACGAAGCGAAGACATGGATCCACATGCTCAGTCAAAGTGAAAGGCTCTACTGGGTCATCATCATCGTAGCGGGCAGCACGGATGGAGGACCTTCTGTTAACACGGGATGATGCAATACTGTCATCCAGGATGCGAAGAATTGGATCCGACTGGTTGTGCAGCAATGGTGGAACCTTCAAGTCACGTGGCAGCTCAGACCATTGTGCACGGCAGATAGGGCAGCTGACATTGCCATGCCGGATGTTGGAGGCGATGCATAGGAAGTGGAAAGAGTGGGAGCATTGCGCTGTGAAGATTGCTGGCGTCTCACCATTGTCAACATCACTGCTGCTGGTGCTGAGGAGTTCCAAACATATTGCACATAGATTCTGAAATTCAAAAGCACAAAATATTGCATAATTAGAAAGTAAATTCCATGTCCACGAATGGCATAATTAAATACGCGTGAAATTTACAATCAACTTAAAACAGTAAAGTCCTTATCTGGAGGAAAATCCTTTATTGTTCTTGCTTCACTTAATCGTTATTTAGCCCCCTAAGACCTACTTCCATAGCCTCTAAAACTAACCAGACTTGAATCCTCATCAGAGACATCGTTAGAGATGCTGACAGAACAGTACAACCCAATTATTGCACGCATTGCAAGCTGGCATATGTTGAACACATAGGACTGCCCATCAAGAAAAAGGAAAAAAAGACTTTGCCAAACTCTAAATGGCTTGTTAACTCGGATGCATCTTGTTGTAGGAGAATTTGTTTGGGTCAAAATTTTGCTTTAATATAAATTGTGTAATGCCATTGCAACCTAGCTAGCAAACAGATGTACATTGCACAAACATAAAAGAACATTGGCAAACGTCTTTTCTGATCTTGCATTATAACTTCTCATAAATATTAGTTGAAAATCTCAAAAGCTCTACCTGATTGTCTTAGTAATAGTGATTATAAAATGATTTCAAAAGGCATTAGTTTTCTTTTGGAGAAATGAGTAATATCAAGATATTCCCCGTTGGTCACTGGCTACCATGATATGGTGCTCATAAGTGACTGCTCTTACTTTTATGTGCCATTAGGGACACAGGCATTATCACACATCTCTCAGACCACATAAGTGTCCATGAAGAGTAGCTAAAAAGTACCACAACACCGTATTACCAAATTATTGAAAAGGAAACATGATTACATGAGCCACTTTGGATGTGAGATATCAGTGTGGACAGTCATGAGACATTGTGTGCACTAAATGAATATATGCAGCCTTTTTATATACTTGCAATTGCAACAGTCTTCCACTAGCCAAATTTCAAGCTGGCTCAATCCACTTATCATTCTTGTGGCTTGGGGAATCTGAAAACATCAGAATGAATGAATGATTGTGTCTTTAATGGTTCAAGTCGAACAATCATGGCTCCGCTGCAGGCTGTCACAGATGAATGCATCTTGTGGTGCTCTGCTGGAGCAAAGGCGCTCCAGGAGCTGCTGGTCAGGTCATTTGCTGGGCGGTAATAGTATAATACTCCTGGTCGTGGTAGCTAGTTGATCACCTGCTGTTGAAATGGGCCATTTGTTTCTTGTTTTCTCCTGTTTGTGGTGGCTGTGTCATCATGAGTTTTGGGGGTGTGTTTTTTGGGAGACTTTGTCCCTCTTGTGTACCCTCTTCTTTCTCAGTAAAATGATACACAACTCTCTTACGTGATCGAGAAAAAAACAAAGTCTCCTTTCAAACTATAAGATAGAAAGCCATTGAGTGAAAACAGAAACCCCAGATGTATAGTTCACCAATATCTGAAAGACTATTAACATACTTGATCTGTTTTAAAAGTCTTAATCATTAACATAATCACCTCATAAGTACTTTCCTTTCAAAAAATAACTTGTCATGGAGGGAACAAACTTCACTCCTGAGCATTCTAGAGAGGGATTAGAGTGAAGAGCACAATATCCTAGTCGCCGCTTACCACAAATTTGCCTTTTAGTTTGTTACAGCTACTATAACTAACCAGTTTGTCTCTTGTTATCTAATCATCTGTTTTTCTCTTTCTATCTTAGTCATTCTTAGGTAAGGATGCTACTGATATCTTCATGATTTCGTTTGTTAGAGAAAAAGTTTCTTGTTTTTTTTTTAATAAAAAAGCTCTATTATTGAGATTGTCTAATAAGAACAGTGTTGGTGGTCCAAATAAAAATCGTACATTTAGAAAGAAAATAGAAAAGGGAGATGTAAGTGGACATATAGCTGGTACCTTGTCAGCCACTCTGGTGCTGGTGGGTTCCTCCATCTTTTGCTGCTCTCCATCAGTGCTGTCTGCAGGCGCATTCAGTGCCGAGCATGAGATCTGCATATCAACACACAATGTGTTATGGAGTAGGATACATTTGTACACTGCAATACAGCTGCATTCAAGATACTGTTCAGATGGCAAAGGACAATAAATACGCTTCACGAGGAAAATGTAGAAATAAACCCTTGTTTAGTTCCACCCCAACTTCCAAAAAATTGCTACAGTACCTGTCACATCGAATGTTTACGGCCCGTGCATGGAGCATTAAATGTAGACGAAAAGAAAAACTAATTGCACAGTTTGATGGGAAATTGTGAGACGAACGTTTTGAACCTAATTAGTCCATGTTTGAACACTATTTGCCAAATAAAAACGAACGTGTTACAGTAGCCCCAAAATCCAAATTCCTACAACTAAACACAGCCTAAGAAAGAAAGAAAGGCAAAGTTGTCCTGTCTTATATTTGTGTACTTCCATATACTATTTTCTATCAATGATATCTGGGACACATGTGGGTTCATAAGGAAATTCACACATCTACCTACCATATGGTCATTCCTTACAGTGCTGAAAGCCTGAAACATTTGCGCTACTAACTGCAAAGTGCTAGTAACAGTTAATTTACCGCATAACAGGTCAATCTACAGTTCCAGGGGAACTGAATGTTGGTAAAGGATGCCCAATTTCTAAAGGGGGGAAAAGGGTAAATTTAAGGGAACACAAACTACCCTCATAAAAATACAGTATTCGCCATATGTAGAGCAACTTGCAACCACTAGCAATCCTGAAATGGGGGAAAGGGGCCCAATACCCAAGAGAATGCAGAACCTTTCATCAATAATAACTGAAACAAGATAGCCTTGGGAAAACATATACAAAAGGTAACATGCGCACAGTTTTCAACCTTTGTATAGATGCCCGGATCAAAAGTCATATTTTGAGGGAAAATAAATGACCGTAAACATGGTACATGGTGCACAATGTGGAGGGTGCATCAAGATTTGAAATTTGTGCTCATATTTCTCTCAGGGTACCAGTACAAGGGGGTACCGTGGGAGAAATATTAGCACCAAATTATTGCTATTGCTCTCTCATTAATGGATGAAGAGTACGAAGAAATACAATACAAACCAGGTAGGTCGACAAGCCACTACCACTACTAATACTTTTAGTAAGCAACACACCTAAGAGAGAACAAGGGCAAAAGGATTGTCCAAGTCAAAGTATCAAAGTGGGCATAGGGATGGTTCTTGTCAAAAATCCAAATCTAATCACTGCTTAGTATTTACAGTTTGTTTGCAGTAAAAAAGACGACACAAAAACCAACCAGGAAGTAAGGCATTTGGAGCAGTCTTTGTGATGGGATGAGACGAAATTTAAGAGAGGCAAGGAGGCAAACGAACTTGTGCTTTTGATGTAAGCACGCCGCAACAACCACACACCTAGACTAGAAACGAAGGGGTGCAAAAAACCAAAATGCAGTTGAGAAAAGGGGTGAAAGGGACAGATGAAAAGGAGCAGGCTAGAACAGGACATGGACAGATGCATTGATTTAGCGGGAGGAAAATCAAAATTAACTCGATCCAATAAAATGATGCCCTGAACCTTGCCTTGTTATAATGCCACTGCAATCAACCAGGAACTTGCACAGATGGATATAGAATCTTGTTTTCGCAAAGATAAAAACAGAGGGGACCCCCAAAAGAAAACACAGCAAGTCTGATGAGACCGAACAATGCAGTAAAAACGAGCTGTTTCTTGGGCCCTTTTCGCGACGAACAGCTGCCCCAAACCACCTAAATCCTCGTAAGGAAGACGGGAGAGAGTGAATAAGAGAGGCACATACAGTCTTGGAAGAAGGCGGGGAGGGAGAGGCGGCGTAGGAGAAGAAGGAGGCGCATGAGAGGCCGATCCGCTTGGCCGCCGCCCTCCGCCACCTCGCGAGCGTCCCTTCGGCGGCGCCGTCGCCGCCGCTGACGCAGCCCCCCACCATTGCTCCTCCCTTTCCCACTCGGCTGCCAGCCTACACCGGCATGGCCAGATGGCCTCTCTCTTGCTCCACTCAGCTGCTGCTGCTTCTTTCTCTCTCCAATCTCTGGCCTTGCCTGTCAGGGGAGGGAAGGTGTAAACGCTACGCCGGGCTCTGGCTGCCTTGTGGGCTTGGCTTTGTACAAGGAGCTGCTAGCTGGGCAAGCCGCAAGCGAGACGACGCATTTCTTTCTCTCTCAGTCCCTGTTTCTCTCTCTCTCTCTCTCTCTCTCAGCAGTGGGGAGTGGGGTGAGGTGAGCAGGAGTTTGCAATCGCAATGTAGCCCTTGTCATTTTGCCATTTGGATTTTGGGCCCACTCTCCCCACGAAAACAAATGGACAAATGCTGATTCATTACTGGATTGGAGTGCACTGTACTGGGTCAGGCCACATTTTAAAATGCAGGGTTAATGTCAACCCAGGGTTAACTCACATCTGCCGGTTTCGTCCATTATAAACAATAAAAATGCCTGTAACCTATATTTCCTCCTTTCTAAAAAAATATACAATCCTATAATTACACTAAGTCAAACTGTCTTAAGTTTCACTAAGTTTTTTATAAAAATATTAATATTTATTTGAAACGACATCAGTTATTCGACGGGGCCATGGGCCTTCTTTCCGGAACTTATTCTTTGTCATGACTTATATACAAAATCAAGGTTATCTGTTGTCAAGATTTTCCATGTCCTCTATTCAGTGTTTGCGCTATCGACGTTTCAACAAACAAAATAATTATGGTCATCGCCAGAACGTTGTTTTCCGAAAACAGATACTTAGAATGTTGTACAATTTCGTTAAGAACGTTAATATATCTTTCAAACCCAGCCCTATAGTAATTCTGAACATATTCTAGGATCTGCATGCAAAGAGAGACCTCTGCTTGCAGAATGCAGAATACTACTGGCAAGCAAGCGAGCTGCCATGCTATAGTACATTCACCGTGGCCCCACTCGTGTGCTGGGAACAGCAATTTAAAAACCTTTTGGGGGCATGGGAACAGCAATTTAAAAACCTTTTGGTGGCATGCCTTGACTGCCTTTCATACTACCACCATACGGAGCGTCCCATCTGAGCCGTTGGTTGGCCGGCATGCCTTGCCACTCAAGCCGATCGCAGCCGCTCGTCACACTGCAACGGCCAGTGAGAGACTGACTGGCCAGCGGTCAGTCAGTCAGAGCGGCACAGCGCCCAAAATGTTCAGTTGAGGCCTTTTGTTTTGTTTCATCTTTTGTTTTTCACTCTTTATTTAATCTAGGGGTATATTTCATGGCAAGATCGAGCTGAGCTTCATAGGCTATTGGAATGTACAGTAGTATATAGTGGTGTGACCGTGTGAGAGGAATTAGACGACATAATCAACCTGTTCGCTGGTTGGTTTCTATACTTATAAGTCCGATTGAAGCTGGTTTAGTGTGAGAGAAAAACACGGTTGGCTGACTGATAAACCTTGGCTAAAATCAACAAACGAACATGCTGATTAATAGGGCATTGATGCCTAGGAGCAGCAGTAGCGTCAGCAGTTGCTGGATTAGTTGCAACCGGTTACAAAAAGCGTGGATTAGTACTACTAACCCAAAAGGTGATAGGACTACTGGTATTTATTTGGTTAGAAACTAGTAGGTGGGTTTCAGTTTAGAAATAAAGGCCGAGATGTGTATGTTACGCGGACTCAATTCATTGATCTGGATCATCTTTTTTCTAGATCAGTGGGTGAAGCCTCCGTGAAGAAAAAGTGTTGTCGCCATATCGTTTGTTACTATTAAATGGTAACCAATGTTTTCAATGGTTGGCCGTGAATGTTTAGTGAACCAAGCGTACAACTTAATGCTTGTGTCATTTGCACGTACTGATCTCAGCAAAGGAGGCACACATTTTTATTATCTTACTAGTATTATGTTTTAGTTCTGATAATGTGCCCTGTAAGGGCTTGTTGGGTTTGGAGAGATTGAGACACCTAAGTTCATTTCCCCCACATATAGTAACTTTTCAATCTCTAAGGGGAAGGTTAAACCGAATAGGTCTAAGGGCCTCAAGCCTGGTTTGCAATCATGCCAATAATAATATAATAAGAAAAGTTCATGACCAGTTCTTCAACTTGGTAAGATGTGTCATCCTCTACTCTCAAAATGTTATTTCTAGGTACATGAGCATGGCTCTAGGGAACATCCAAGTCCAAACGGGTTCTAACCCGCTCTGTATGCTGATGTGGCATGCTGATTGTGCATTGACGTAGCCCCTACATGTAATCCTTCAACTTGGCAAGGGGTATCACCTAGGTCCCTCTGTTGTTAAATATTATTTCTGGATCCATGAACTTGGTTTTGGTAATGTAGGTCTAAACGGTCCTAACTCGCTCTGTATACTGACGTGGTACACAGGACTGCGCATTGATTTCTTAGTCTTTAAAGTTATGAAAGGTAAGGTAATCAACAATATTTACATGCCAACACTTGTTACTACTTTTTGAAAGATTAAACTTATCACTAATTTTGCACTCTTCTTTTTAGTCTTTAACTAGAACATATGGAGACTTTTGTGTTGAATATATGCAAGTATTTTCATTAGGAATACATTTTTGTTAAATCTTACAAATTGCAAAACAATAATATTCTAAGGCACTTTTTTCTGAGTGAATGTATATAAGTATGTATGTTACACCAAATTCACTCGTTATTGTGAGGCACAAAACTCAAACCAAACAGAAATTTTCTAAATTTGCCTGGCTAGGCAAAAGCCATCAATTTTGCAGGCAGCTCCTAAACAACTAGGGTGGCTAGGCAAAAGCCATCAATTTTGCAGGCAGCTCCTAAACAACTAGGGCCTCTAGCCAACCAGACCTTCTTCGTGCGTGGAAGCAAGTCTCTCTTTTGTTCGTTGACTGATTAATCACGATGAAAAAGCATAAGACCATTAAACTGACGGTCACTTTGCATGGAGGATCCAAGGCCATTGTCCATGCTGCTTGGTTGTTGAGCTGGGATATACTTATCCTAAGATAAGAGGAGATGGTGTGAGAAATCGCTGGCTATAGCAGGCAAAACCAGCAAAAATCCATGGCTTTCGGTTAACAACGCCTATTGGAGCACACATCTTGTCCTCTTGGAGGTTTGGTGCACGGGTCGACGGCTCGACGCAGCCGACAACTGCACACCGACCAAAGGGGGCGAAAAATGTCCTTGTATATTCTCTCCGTCACAATTACAGAATCCGTGCCAGGCCTCGTTTAGATCGACTCAAAATTCTAATTTTTTTCACTCTCTCTTCGTCACATTAATTTTTAGACGCATACATGAAGTATTAAATGTAGGTAAAAAAATAACTAATTATATAGTTTGGTTGTAAATCACAAGACGAATCTTTTGAGCCTAGTTAGTCCATAATCGGATAAAGTTTATCAAATACAAACGAAACGTGCTACAGTGTCCAGATTGCAAAAATTTACAATCTAAACAAGGCCCCAGTCTGGTGCCAAGATTTCGTGTGGTGGACAGGGTCCATGACAAGGTGCCGTGCCTCAACAGCACTTGATGGATCTTGCTGGAACATTCCTAGTTCCAACCACGTCCAAACAAGCGGTTACCACGGCCCAAATCCAAATTGAAATAAAGCTCGAATAAATCCCCCTCCAACACAACACTTGAAATAAAGCTCCCTCCATCACAAGACAGAGCATAAAGAATAGAGCAGGCAGCCATGAGCCATCACAGGGCACACCACCTGAATCCGTACACCACTGCCTCGCCTTCACCCAACAAAGCGACGTCACCACGGACGGCCCCTTTGTCAACAAGAGAGAGAGAGAGGAGATGCAAATCTAGGTCTGCAATAAACAAGGAACTAAGCACCAGGTAATACGTATAGCACAGAAAAAGGCCATCATTCTTCATCCGTGTCATGCCACTACGAGCGAGACCAGAGGAATAAATCTGCTGCATTTTAAAATGCCGTTCAGTGCCATCATCATACTACGTTCTTCTACCCAAATCTCCATGCCATGACAACTTTCTAGGAGTAGCAGTAGCATTTAGCAAGCAGTGACTGGGGAGTAAAACAACAGCCGCCTTGGCATGGCACAGGCATGCTCTTTAGCAGACAGGCCGGCCATCCATGGCAGAGAGCAGCATAAAGCTGATGCACTGAAACAAGTGCCGCAATCATGAAATACACCCACACAAAGGTGAAAGCTCAGCGAGGATTAAAAACTGGGGAAGAAAAAGGAGCTGCTCTGAATCTGAAGCACCTCAGCATCAGAGGACAGTCATGAACTAAAAGATGTTCCATGGCGGCAGCCAGTTTCGAATGACCAAAGATTACACATCACGAGTCACGCCAAGCTATACTTTACCCCGTAGCTAACATGCTAAACAGCTAAAGCAATGTCAAAGGTAACAAGAGGCTTCACTGCCTTTAGAACACATATCCATAATGTGTGACAACAGCTTCCCCCAATGCATGTAGCAAAATGTACAACTGTCGGACGATTCCATGCAAACATCTGAGTAAGATGCCTTATTTACCGTCTGATACTCAGATGGCACGTCAGGGGGTCACAAGGCTCTCTAGGTTTCATGTAGCAATGAACACCATCATAAGGATCACTACGAATAAAGGGGCACAAGTAAAGAACGAATTACGCAACACCTGATGATAAGGTGGCAAAAATTGCAAACTTGGGGTGAACATCCATAGTAAACTGCAGTGCTATTGTTACTAATGTTAGCCATACCATCATACCCTCTGGAAACAAGACAGTCAATTAGGCTCCACCATCTATACCAGGCAAACAACAATGCAGACAACAGCTAATGTCTATACACCCTCCATTCCAAATTAAAATACGTTTTGACTTTTCTAAATACATCGATTTTACTATGTATCTATATCTAGACATTGTATATCTAAATGCATAGCAAAAATTATGTATGCAAAAAGAGCCAAAACATCTTATAGTTTGGAATGGAGGGAGTAGTTTACAAGGAAACCACTCATCCTAAACATTCACATCACAGGAGGTGATGGTATAAACCACAGAAGTATGTAGTCATCAGTTTCAAGCTCCTCAGATCAGAACAAAAAAGGATGCCACCATATGATGATCCTTGCAGCTAGACATTACCAATACCTGCCATAAGATGTGATACAAATCGTGATGAGTATGAATTGCTGAAAAGTGCAATCAGTTTCCCTGTTTTAAATAAATGGCGAGAATCAAGGGCTCGTTAGCTTGCAATTAGGTTATACAGACCAAATGATAAAAGGCATAAGAATAAAGAATTAATGCAACTATCTTTCCTAGTATATTGGAACCATTCTATACAACTTCCAAAGCAACTCCACAAACATGTTACTGTGGACTTCAACTAGGGATATGCACCTGGGCTTCGGCTGGCACACAGCTGGGCCAATCAGCTACCCACTCGCATAACCTAGATGTTGGCACAGGATGAAAGTTACATCTATTTTCACTGGGTATACAGTGTGCCACCATCTGCTTTGAAGGTATGTGATTCACTGATAACTGATAGGAAGAGGTGCAAAGATAATGCATCTCTTTATCTTCAGGATCAGATCAGATCACATCTTCAAAAACTCGAAGTTTCCCTCTATGGCTCTATCTCTATGTTAAATAACAGGATCCCAAAGAAAAATACATTTTCTACCAGACAGCAAATACATTTTCTACCAGGCAGAGCAAACTTAAAGAGTTTTGACTAAGTAATGCACAGATCCTGCAGCAAATACACTGCTGCAATATGCTAGCATAAGCAAATAGGAAATAAAACTCGGCCCTTAGGGTAAAGACCATCATCCCTGGGTACTATGCGAAGAAGAGTCTTTCTTGCTGTAGGACCGAGCAAACACCCTGGAACATCTGTCCAGGAGCAGCCACATATCTCTGCAACTGCGTCACTGGAACATCAGCAGGCAAGGGGTGTTTTTTTTTAATTAAAAAAAATAGCCCCGGAAATTCACTCCCACTAGGAATCAGACTCAGGCCACTGGGGTGCTAATAAGGCCCTGCAACCACTAGACTACAGGCCCATTCACAAATGGGAAATCAATACATATTCTGCAAGCAAATGAAAAGAAATTTTTGAAATAGATTTCTGAGAAACAATTACCTTGCATCTATTTCTGGCCACCAGGATTTGACTGATTTTGTATCTGCTTAAGCAGGGTTGCTGCCAATTGCAGTGTTGCTTGAAGGCGCTTTTGAGGATCTCCATCAAGGTCCTGAGCAGGTAGTTGTTGGCTAGATTGCTGGCCAGAAGTAGCTAAAGCCTGCACTGTGGGAGCACTTGATGTTTGCTGCTGAAAGGGTGGAGGACCTTCAGGAAGTGGAGGAACGAACGGTCTCATTGGCATGGAAGAATGAGCTGGGTTGACCAAAGCATGAATGGGTGGCATAGGCAAAGTGGTGTTACAAAGTATAGGAGCACTGGTCGGAAGCGCATTGAGTGGATTTGCAGGTAGCGAGCCTATTGGTGGCACTGGCACATGGGCACGTAACTGTTGCATAGACGGTGGAACAGGTGGCAGTGAGTTCTGGACAGGGATGGAGCCAGAGTTGCCTGGCATCATTGTAGCATGTCCATGAGGATTGGAATTCTGTATGAATCCAGATTGATTGTTTGAGCTGTCCACAGGAAAACCAACTTTTCTAGGTTGGTTTTGTTGTGCAAGAAGGGCAGCCAGCTGTGCAAGTTGATCAGGTGGCAGTGATACTGGAATAGTAGGTTGATCAGATCTAGCTACCTGCTGTGAGTTGGGTTGCATGGAAGGCCAGGACATGCTGTTGTATGCTTCACCTGGTGCATACCCTGAAGCTGTTCCAGTTGGTACTACTCCGGAAGCAAATGTGTACGGATCCTGTGTCCTGTTATTTAGCGCACGAGAGATTACACCCTGCTCCAAACTGAAGTTACCAGAACCTGGATTTGGATCATCCAGGTTATTGGACCATCCTGAGAGCAACCTGTTTGGGAGTTGCTGGTGTTGGCCTTGTACAATACCCATAGGGAGGTCCGCTGGTGGCCTTTCTTGCGGTAATTGAGAGACAACATATGGAGGAGCACTCTCTGGCTTATAGGGTGGAATAAAATCTGCACTTGCTGGGGTATAGCTTACACCTGATGAGCGGACATAATCTGGACCCTGTGGGAATGTGCTGATATCTGGAGGATTGAGCCTTCTCAGTGCATGCAGATCTTCACAATTGCTTACATCAGTGTTGAAATTACTTGCAGAAGATTGGTGAGCTCTCTCCAATGATTTGCGATTCGGCGAGCTGTAATCTGGATTTGACTGCTGAAACTTCAGAATGACTCCAGATATGCTGACATTTCCAGGCACTCTCAGTACTTGCTCTGAGAAATCTGAAGGTGGAACAAGAAACAAGGTGCTCCTCTCTCCAAGCTTACAGACTGCTGCACGCTGCTTATCACCTAGGTAACTCATGAAATCATTATAAGCTGTCATGTCCGCATCATTTTCTGGGACAAAAAATACAACCCAGCTGCCAGCAGCTTGATAGTAGTGCTTAGAAAGCATATCTAGACTTGTCCTAGCAGTGCAATCCAGAAACTCAGGCCTGAAAAGTACAAAATTAACAAAAAGAACCTCAACACTCAGTGTTCGAACAAAAGATGCTCAAATATGGAATGATGTAAATATAGAGAACAGATATCCAAGGGATTGCACTATGGGCAACATACCAAAGCATGAAGTAATGAAGTATAGATATAATGACTCGACTACAAAAACTAAGAGTCACTTGTGAACGGAATCTTAAGTGCATGCTAATCTTCCCTGCTGTAGATGCTGTGTTGTAAACTGTAGCTACGACAGAACACAGAAAATATAGGAAACTTACAGCATGAAGTTAAGGACCTTCCCAACAGGGAAGCATCGAGCTCGGCAGATCCGTGTGCCTCCCTTTGCTATTGTACCATTCCATTTCCATTCATCCTTAAGAGCAGGTTCATGATGGTCAGGAGTAGATCTATCCATTTTCCCTAAACGCCTATCGAAACTCTCTTGAGCATGCCATGGTTCATGTTTATTTGTAAGTGGAGTTATATTCTTTAAAGGATGAACATGATGTCTATCATGCATATCAGTAAACAAAGAGGTTCTAGAGTGTAAACCATCTTCTGAAAGATCATGATGGAGCCTCCTTTGGTACTCAGGGTAAACTTTTCCTCGATCAAATTCTGAGAAAGGATATTCAGGAAGTTCAGTATCATGCACTTGAGCACCCTTCGGCTTCTTTGAAATAAGATATGAATTGTCTTCAACGTCCCAAGAAGCTTCCATTGGTAAGGGTCTCTGAGGTCTGTCAAAAGGAATGTTGTTCCATGGCTTCCATGGCGCATCACTCCTAGCAGTAGGGCTTTGTCTATGGGGCTCATACAATTCCTCAGGCAGCCTTCTTTCTTGACCCAGCTCCCGTGTTCTAAAAGGCTCAATATTAGACGCATGGCCAAGCTCTATTCCAGCGTCCTGTTCAAAATAATTACCCTTGCTGAAGCCAACATCATCAGCATCTCTTGACAACCTATTAGGGCCAAAATGTGGTGTTGACATGCGAAAATCTCTTGGAGGGCTATCAAAAGGCCTAGCCCTAGGAAAGTCTTCAAAATCATGGTCTCTGATGACAGGCCGAGCACTAGGTTGGGGGGAATATGGGGCAACAAATGATCGTTTCCCAACTTCTGGCGCAGCACCTTCATTTCGAGAAAAGCATATGCTTACTCGTGGATTATTGAAAAGCTTTCCCTGAAGTGCTTCTTTTGCTCTGCAGGCTGCTGCAACACTAGTGTACTGGACAAATGCATATGTTCGGCCTGGGAATGTTGTTACCCTGAGAACCTTCCCAAAAGGAGAAAAGGCTTCCCACAGATGAGCCTCATCTACCTTTAAACCAGGAGGAAAGCCTATCCATAACACCTCGCTAGGTTCTGTTGACCTATTTCTTTTATATTTATCTATTGTGTTTTCAGGACTCAGATGCCGTTTTCTCCCACGTTCAATAGAATGCCGCTCATCAGTATGTTGTGTATATCTGTCATCCATTGAGCTACCTGAAGCCTTATCCTGAAAATTCAAATAGTTCAGGTAACCTAATACCACTTGATGCGTGCAACAGTGTAAAAGTAGGATAATGGGAAATCCAGACATACAAGATTAAAGCATAATAGACAAATTAAACTGAATGTTGTTTAGCCCTGATCATAGAAAGATGAATTTAAACAAGGCAAACTAGTGATAAGGTACACCTCCATGGCAGTGGAGATAACTCCACTGGCTACAACAGTATTCTTATTCTTAAACTCCAAAGTACTCTAGATACCGAGGTTGTCATAGAGAACATAAATTCCTCAAGCTAACATGATCAGGGGAAGAAAGCCCCAACCCAATAACCCAATGACCACAAGTATTCTGTCCTACATGTCATTGTTTCCTATATTAGGGGGAGAACAGTAGCAAAAGGATGAAGGAATATGTGGCATCTAGTCTTTGTAATAGTATAGGCAACCAATTCAAGGTTCCGACGTTCAGTACATAATGAGTTACATCAAACTTGGTGAGCCACATATAACGGAAACTTAGTTGTCTCGTCTTTTAAGGTTTTGAAGACAGCAGTCCAACAAAATTATGAGCTTGACTAGACACTCATTGAACACTGAGAGAAATAGCCAAATTTCCAGTTTCACAGCATTCTACACCAAGCCAAAGAAGCACAGAGACATATCCAGCAAAGATGGGCTAAGTGTTGCGAACTCAGAAATTTTGTTGCAAAGGAGTTCACAAATATTGCGAACACCGAACATCGGATGCTGAAAAGGTTGAATATTGAGGCTACCATAACATCTGGTCCTCACAACATTTGCAAACACTTTTTGCAACAAAGTTTTCAAGTTTTCAATAGTTCCATTTTTTCCATGATGTAACCCAAATGCTATACAATTTTCTGAGATAATGCTTAGCGGCCAGCCATTTGCAGGACTTGTCACTGTCATTTTTTGGCATACCATATTTCGAACAAGGGTTACAGTGCCTTGCCTGTGTCAATTCTTGTTATAAACAGCTAAAGCCTGCATATACCAATGCTTCTGGAAACTTTCATGTCTGCATCCGTAGTTCTGAGCATGTATCGGATGCGGATGCTGATATAGAAGGTATTTGTCTGGTCAAGTAATGAATTTTTAAGTAGGAAACCAGATACAATGACACAATATGGCTGCAAGCCATGACAACCAGTTATAGTTCTCGATTTACCGTCCAAGTATAACTAATTTTCTTGACCTACGTCGGTTCAAAATATGGTGTTACTGAAGAAATGTATGAGTTGTACTTGGCTCAATATGAATCAACTATCCTTTACTCTTTGTATTGCTTCAAGATATATGTAGCCATACAACCATATCAGTAGTTTTGAAAAAAAAATTACTTCCCTATCAGTTTTTATCATTGTGCAATATATTGCCATGTGCTGCATAGAGAAAAGAGAAGGATATTCAGTTGTTTCTTTACTCCACCAGGTTTCCTACCATACCAACTCTGGCTGTCCATTCGTAAAGTTTGGCGAAAGGTGCTCCTCTTATCAGAAATTACTGTACCTACCATACTTGTCTACTTAATTGTGTTTTGATGTTTCTTAGTTGTGTTCTTTAATTTCAAGTACCTAAAATGGCACAAGTCATCACAAGCATTCCTCTATTGTTCTTGATGATTCCTTTGAATTAACAGGTCAAAATAGCTGGATTGGTGTAGTTTTAAAAAGTATTCATGTATGTTCCTTTTTGAAGGCGTTCATGTACGTATTTGCGTTCAACTTGTCATAGCATCATGAGTCAGCACATCACGAAGTAGGTGAGTCCAGTAACATCAGTCCATCAGCAATCAATCAAGGCATCAGTACCAGATGGATATGGCAATATTTCTATTAGTCAAAATATTATGCATGGAAATTCAATCAGTCACCCATTTTTTGTGATTATACGTCCAAAATGACTGATAACATGGCATGCCATAAGGGCAACTGTTTAATGCTTATCCAGCTAAGTTCTACTCCTTCCATCCCGAAAATAATGCAATTCTAGCTGCAGTACTAAGTCAAACCATCTTCAGTTTGACTAAAATTATACAAAAAGGATAATAATATTTATGATATAAATATGTATCATTAGATTCATCATGGAATATATTTTCATAGTGCACTTATTTGGAATCATAGATGTTGATACAATTTTCTATAAACTTAGTCAAACTCAAAATAGTTTGACTTTGATTAGATCTAGAATTGCATTCTTTTTGGGACAGAGGTAGTAGAACACAACTGGATCCATGAATAGTCAATGATGTAGACGTCTGACACATGTGCTTAGATCAATCATCTTAACTCAGGAGTCAAGAGATTTCTGCTGTTCCTATGGTTCACCAATACTTTAGTACACTTGAATCCAAGACAATCAGAAGTAGAGTTGGTGCGATTAGCAGTACCACAAAGTCTGACATTACATAAAAGGCTTTAGACATAAAAGAGAAAAATATATGTCTACATATGAATGATGATGCTTTATCCTTTTGGACATTTACTTTGACAACATTAAACTTACAGGTAGTTGCCCGTTTGTCCAGAAAGCAAACAAAACGTCAAACAGATAAAACTAATAGGGGGTTCATATAAAGCAACAGTGTGCTGCACTGCTGCATTTAATTAGATTGACCAGGCCTGCATGGATTAAGTGTAACAGAGGTCCCTGCAATGTACCTTAAAGTTTTAATATTCATTCCATATTTAGCCTAGTAAAACAAGCTACATATTGGTTCCATGGAACTTAATTTCAAGCCGCACATTATATTTCTGGCATCTTTCACATCACAAATAAAAAGGTGTAAGGAAGCTCCATAGGGCAAAGAGTTGAGAAAGGGTACTTAGTGCTGAGGAAATTTAGTGTGACATATCGATAATATTGATGCATTGGATTTGCAGCAGTCTCTCTCTGATGCTTCATAAGGGATAACATATTTCATCACTTTTGCCCCCCAAAAGAGTGTCCTTGTAGGTTTCACATGCATTAACAGTTTCCCTGATTATTCAGCATCACAAGATGCACTATATATGAAACAGCTGAAGATGTCATCATCAATTGAACACAGGATTTTTCAAGCCATGAGGATGCACATTTGATCTTTGATTAAATACAAGGACGCCCCACAAATGACCTTCTAAGAACCGTCTGTTAGAGGTTTATTACTAAGAGACAAGAGTTGCCCTAAATAAATGGAAAAAAATTACTCAGTCCTTCATAGCTATTGGTGAACTATTGACATGAGACAGCAGGAACATATTTATCACACTCAAGCAGGTACTTTCTAGTATTGATGATTCAGAGTGCAATGGCAAGAGGAAGATACATGGCAATAATCCTAGCTATGTTCCGCCGAGATGGCTATCGTTTGCCCTTTGCAGGACATCTGACAACTAAGGGTCACAAATGCTGAGACACTGTGGGTGTAATTGTTCAGATTCAGTGAAACCTGTGACCAATGGTGCTGACTAAATAATCCTGCACTGGTAGAATTTCACACAGGTGAACAACATTGAGATTCATCATTAGCCAGGCCCATGAAACAGCCTAAAACTCTGTTCCTGCACATTTCCGGGCATACCTGTTTTGAACCGATTTGACACTGGGGCAGTGCTGTGAACCCTAAATTTAACTCTTGTGATTCAGCCTGTCTTGAAACACTAAGGTTTTGTACACAAGATAAGAGAAGAACACCGCACTGATAATTGCTTGGAGTCAAATTAAATAAATATGTAATGAACAGAGGATGTTCAACACTAACCCCCTTGGAAAACTCGATCCTAACAGGCGCCCCAGCCAGGCGAGCCCCCTGGAGCTCCCGCACCGCGGCAACGGCGTCCCCCTCCCGCAGGAAGCTCACGAACGCGAAGTTCCGGCCGGGCTGGCGGGCGACATCCTCGACGTCGCCGCACCGGAGGAACAGCTCCGACAGGTCGGACGCCGTGACGCTGAGCGCCAGGCCGCCCACCCACAGGTGCCGCGACGGCGGCGCCACTCCCCAGCCCGACCCCCGACGCGGGAGTGGGAAGTACGGATCCTCCTCGACGCGGACGCCGTGACGGACCGGCCGCTCGTCGCCCGGCGGCCCGCCACCGAACCTCCCCGTCCACCCGGCCCGCGGCGGTCCCTCGCCATCTGCAAAAAAACGGTCGAGATTGGTCAGCGCAGCTGCATTTCCATCGCAGTAAAAGGATGGAGCTGTACCATTGGCGATTGGCGCCGGCGTGCGGCGGCGATTGAGAGGTTAGGGTTTGCGGTTGGATGGGACGGATGAGGAAGCCCAATGGCTTTTCTTCCTTTCTTTTGAAAAAAAAAATGCCGATTTTTCTCGCAAGCTGATATTTATATTTAGGTGTAGAGCTTTGTCTCTAAAATGGAATCTATAAAGTTTACTTGGCTTATATATATATATAAGCAAGTACTCCCTCCATCCCAAATTATAAGTCATTCCAAAAATCTTAAAGAGTTAAAGTATTTCAAGTTTAATCAAGTTTATATAATAAGATAATAACATTTATGATACCAACTATGTACTAATAGATTCTTTGTTAAATATATTTTTATAGTATATCTATTTGATGTCATAAATCTTTGTAATTTTTTTTTTATAATTTTGGTCAAACTTGAGAAGCTTTGACTCTCCAAGATTTTTGGAATGACTTACAATTTGGGATGGAGGAAGTACTTCCTATGTATTTCCAATACGTCTATCTTTGTTCTATATCTATATCTACGTAGAATATCTATATGCTTGTTTGGATATTTTTTATCGTGTAGACTTGCTTTTAAAAGCAGTTGCTAAAAGATAGATTATATAAAAGCTAGATTGGCAGTTGTTTGAATTCACAGTTTGTATAAGTTGGACAAAAACTAATGTATCACGACATTTGGCGGAATTGCTAATCCAGGTGCCACAAAATGCACGGCCCTCTTCAATATTGTTTCAAATATTGTTATTGAAACATCATTTCGCAATGGGGAGTCAACTAAATTTTGGTTGGACAGATGATTGCCAGGCACGACAATCTCTAAACTCACACCTAATTTAATCAAATTGATCTCTAAAAGAGTGTTGAAGCATGATCTCCAATGCGCCTATCTTTGATTGCCATGGCCTAGACCTTGGACACTAAGTGTTGTGTCGTGACCCGGCTTTGCATCTTTGTTTAGCATAAGCATCATCAAAGTTCATGTTTTGAAAACTAGTCAAGTAAAATTGCACATTTCTAGCTCTATTGTGTCATGACACGCTCCGTCCAGTATCACTGGTCTACCAGCACATAGCTAGTTCATCCTAAACAAATACCAATAGACAATTTATCAACACTCGACAGACAGCCCAATAGAGCATGAACATATAGGAAATTGCGTTGTCTAGCTCTCCTCAGCTTGGACCCACCCATAGGTCAATGTGGCACTCACACCACACCCATGGACCTCTCAAAGCTCTCACACCCACTCTCTCTGCCTAGCCTGTGGTGCAAATTTGAGGAGGTGGATAAACATATTGCAAACTCAGGAGGATTGCAAACAATAGTTCTAATCCCTGAAGTAACCCCAAATCACAACAAATTGAAAAGTGAGAATTGGGGGAACCAAAATCACAACCCATGTCATGACCCTAATCAATATGCTTGATGCAATCCTAACTAGTATGCCTACTCTAGCCCCAATTAGTACGTCTACTGCAACCCTAATTGGTATAGGTGCTATGACACCTAATCAATATGAATGATGCAACTCTAATCAATCTGCAAGAGTATATATAACCCGTATTTGATTCTAAAAGGTACCAACTTGAAGATGATAGGGCAAACCCAACAACCTTAAGCAGTACGCCTATTGAGGCCCCTAATCCATATGCTCACAATAACCCTAATTGTTATGGGTGTTGTGACCTCTAATGAATATAGATGCTGCAACCTTAACAACTATGCATGAGTATACAGTATCCATGTTCGAGAATTCTATAAAGTAGCAACCTGAGCATGCGGTAGAGATTGTCCTAGAACCCTCATCAGTGCCCCTGTTACAACCCTAATCAATATGCATGTTGTAACCCTAATTGGCATGGATGTTGCGATCTCTAATTAGTATGTATGATACAACCACAATAAATATGCCCAAGTATACGGGATTCGTATATGATAATTCTAAAACGTAGCAACCCAAATATATGGTAGGACAAACCTCGTAACCCTATTCAATATAATTGTATACCCCTAATTAGTATGCATGCTGAAACTTTATTCGGTACATACTTTTAACTAGGGGAGCAAACCATAGTTACAACCCTTTACCTAAACTTAGAACATTTCTATTAACATAAGATAAATTCTAGACCACACTAGAGCATGGGTTTACCAAATGTTTAAAAAAAATAGATTCAACTCTACCCACGGAGCTACTCGTGGAGCCAAAGTAAAAAAAAGTTATTCCACCGGTGAATAGTGAAGCAATGCCGTACCAAACAAAACCTAAGGCCCCGCTCGCTTGTCTTATCAGTCGTACTTTTTCAGCGGAGGAACAATATTTTTCTCTCATAATAAATCAGCGAACAGTACTTTCAGCTTGTCTTTTCAGCGAAGTGAATCTCGTAAGTTGAGTTCAATTCAATGCAATAAACGAATACTTACTGCTCAAAGTCTGAAACACATGTTAGCTAGTGCATCAGTGCTTACGTTTGTTCAAGGTGCGTGTGATTGTTCAAGGTGTCGCAAACTTCACAATGATTGAGTTTGGCGGAGTACCCGTCCAAAACCGGGACCGCCTGCTAGCCTGTACCTGTGTACTCCTGTAGGCATATGTACCAAAGCAAAAACCAAAGTATTAATCAGTATATATAGGGAGAAAGAAATAAAAAACGAAAGTCCTCTTCAGCGTGCAAGTGGTCGGACCCACGCTCTCCCTAATCATTAATCAACACGTGTGGGGCCTACATATATGCCCTCTCCTCTGTTTTCTCTGTTTGTGTTATCCCATGACCATGAGGCACCATTCTCCTTCTTCGTGCTCTGGATATTTGATCTGTGGCTGTTCTTTAATCTCTCTCTTTCACCTCACCCTCATTCATTCATTTGGCTGCATCGGTTCCTAGCATCCACACACTCCGGTTTCGTTCTCTGTCTGGGTATGATCCGGTCATCTCATGATCGCTAAGCTCCAGTGCGAGCACGGAATCTCAGTATAATGCTGGTCAATTCAATGAGACAATGACAATGTCGAAGCCACCATTATAGACTGTATGTAGCAGAAGCAGCTGCAAATAAAACTGACACTACTAAACCAGATTTTAACTTGCAATTGGATCGACGGTTCATTCTCCTCACGGCAAAAAGACAGAGACGCGGGCGGCAATGGGGAGTTCCAAGCTCTCCTTGCTTTGCCTCGTCCCGTTCCTTCTCCTCACGGCCGTTGCGGTCGCCGGCGGCGACACGCTCACCACATTCATCGTGCACGTGCAGCCCCCGGAGCCGGAGGAGAACCAGCAGACCGCCGGCGACCGGGATGAATGGTACAGGTCGTTCCTGCCCGAGGACGGCCGGCTCGTCCACGCGTACCACCACGTCGCGAGCGGCTTCGCGGCCCGGCTGACGCGGGAGGAGCTCGACGCGCTGTCCGCGATGCCCGGGTTCGTGGCGGCGGTCCCGGAGGAGACGTACGAGCTGCAAACGACGCACACGCCTCTGTTCCTCGGCCTGGACGCCCGGCGAGGCGGCAGGCCGGAGTCTCACGGGTCACGGCGGCTCCGAACGCAGCGCTGGGGTCATCGTCTGCTTGCTCGACACCGGCATCTCCCCGACGCACCCGTCCTTCGACGGCGACGGCATGCCGCCGCCGCCGGCGAAGTGGAAGGGCAGCTGCGACTTCGGTGTCCCCGTGTGCAACAACAAGCTCATCGGCGCTCGCTCGTTCATGTCCATCCCCACCGCCGGCGGCAACTCCTCGTCGCCGGTCGACGACGCCGGCCACGGCACGCACACCGCCAGCACGGCCGCCGGAGCCGTCGTGCAGGGCGCTCAAGTTATTGGCCAGGCCGTGGGGGTCGCCGCCGGGATGGCGCCCCGCGCGCACGTCGCCATGTACAAGGTCTGTAACGACACCAGCTGCCTCAGCTCCGACATACTCGCCGGCGTCGACACCGCCGTGGGCGACGGCTGCGACGTCATCTCCATGTCCATCGGCGGAGTGTCCAAGCCGTTCTACCGTGACACCATCGCCGTTGGCACGTTCGGTGCCGTCGAGAAGGGGGTCTTCGTCGCCCTGGCAGCCGGCAACCGTGGCCCGAACGCCAGCTCCGTCACAAACGAGGCGCCCTGGATGCTCACCGTCGCCGCCAGCACCATGGACCGCTCCATCCGCTCCACGGTTTGCCTGGGGAACGGCCGCTCCTTCCACGGCGAGTCGGTGTACCAGCCAGACGTCTCGCCCTCCGCCGCCTTCCACCAGCTGGTCTACGCCGGCGCTAGCGGGAGGCCGTACGCCGAGCTCTGCGGCAACGGCTCGCTGGACGGCGTGGACGTCCGGGGCAAGATCGTGCTCTGCGAATACGGAAGCGGACCGGACGGCAACATCCCGAGGATCCTGAAAGGCGCCGTGGTTCGAAGCGCCGGCGGCGCCGGCATGGTACTGATGAACGGGTTTCCGCAAGGCTACAGCACGCTCGCCGACGCGCACGTGATCCCGGCGTCGCACGTCGACTACGCCGCCGCCTCAGCTATCATGTCCTACGTCCAGTCCGCGGCGAGCCCCACGGCGAAGATCCTCTTCGGGGGCACGATCCTCGGCACGTCGCCTGCTCCGTCCATGGCCTTCTTCTCCGCTCGCGGGCCGAGCCTTCAGAACCCCGGGATTCTGAAGCCCGACATCACGGGGCCCGGCGTGAACGTGCTCGCCGCATGGCCATCCCAGCTCCAGGTCGGTCCGCCGCCGCCGGCATCTGCTGCTGCTCCCCTCGGACCGCGGGGACCGACCTTCAACATCATCTCCGGCACGTCCATGTCGACGCCGCATCTCAGCGGCATCGCAGCCTTCGTCAAGAGCAAACACCCTGATTGGTCGCCGGCAGCGATCAGGTCGGCGATCATGACCACCGCCGACGCCACCGACCGTGCCGGCAACGCCATCCGCAACGAGCAGCGCGTGGCGTCCGACTTGTTCGCCACCGGTGCCGGCCACGTCAACCCGGAGAAGGCGGCCGACCCTGGTCTGGTGTACGACATCGCGCCCAGCGACTACGTCGGCTTCCTCTGCGGCCTGTACAGTAGCCAGAACGTCTCAGTGGTCGCGCGGCGGCCGGTCGACTGCTCAGCCGTCACAGTCATCCCGGAGAGCATGCTGAATTACCCATCGGTGTCGGTCGTCTTCCAGCCGACGTGGAATTGGAGCACGCCTGTGGTCGTCGAGCGTACGTTGAAGAACGTCGGGGAGGAGGTGTCGTCGGTTTACTACGCGGCGGTCGACATATTTGACGACGATGTAGCTGTGGGCGTGTTTCCAAGCGAACTGGTGTTCACCAAGGTAGACCAGGAGCAGAGCTTCAAAGTGATGGTGTGGCGGGGGCACAGTAATAAGGGTGCGAAGGTGGTGCAAGGCGCGTTCCGTTGGGTGTCAGACACGTACACAGTCAGGAGCCCTATCTCCATATCCTTCACTTGACACCACAAATCTACATAGCTGCTCTGCTGCTAGCTAACTAGCTAGTTTTGTTTTAGTATACTTGCATTGTGGGTCTCGTTTCCCCTATATATGGCACAAGCCCAAAGAATTAATTCTACTCAGATCCAGCGACTTGTCTAGGTGAAATGAGTTTTTTTTTGCCTTTCACTTATTATACTGGGCTTGAACAGAGATATCACTGCCTAGTGATTTTTTTTTCGACCTGCCCGTAACATTAATTTCGTCTATTTTTCTCGGCCTAAGCCTGGCCCGTAACATTAGGAAACTCGTGGATGGCTCGTCTAAAGCCTATTTGATCTATTAACACTAAAAATTAGTAGCTAAAATTAATACTAGTGGATCCAAACAGACCTGCTATTTTTTAGCTAAGAGGACTACTAACTATTAGTTCTACTACCAGATTTGGAGTTGCTAATAGTTCATATGTACCTTCAACTCACTAACCACCTATTAGCAGCTACTATCTATTAGCTAGCTAATTTTTAGTGCTAATAATAGATCTAAACATGCCCTAAGTAGCTAGTTTTGTTTTAGTCACGGTTATTAAATTTCCTTGTGTCTGCTCACACATAGAATTCGCAGCATGGGTGGCTCCTCCACGCTGCGACACATGTCTTTGTCTGTTTTTTCAAAAAGACCTCCATCTTTTAGGAAACTAACCCGCCATCCAGTGCAGGACCCAAATACAACATCCGTGTTTGTATATTTTTCATATAAGCCCCTAATGTAAATTTTATTCTAACATGAAGAAAAG